GAGTGTATGAGTGGGGGAAAGAGAGAAGTGGAGGTGTGTGCTGACAGAATGGAGTGTATGAGTCGGGAAAAGAAAGAAGTGGAGGTGTGTGCTGACAGAATGGAGTGTGTGAGTTGGGGAAAGAGAGAATGGAGGTGTGTGCTGACAGAATGGATTGTATGAGTCGGGAAAAGAGAGAAGTGGAGGTGTGTGCTGACAGAATGGAGTGTGTGAGTGGGGGAAAGAGAGAAAGGAGGTGTGTGCTGACAGAATGGAGTGTTTGAGTGGGGGAATGAGAGAAGTGGAGGTGTGTGCTGACAGAATGGAGAGTCTGAATGATGATGAAATTCACCAAAAGACAAGTAAGGAAATGGTACAAAGTTCAGACGATGATAAGATTGAAAGACAAAAGGAAATACACCAGCCAGTTGATACAAATGAATGCCCCGGGAAATTTGTTGTCATTGTGTATAACATATCATATCCTGGTTATGTTGAAGATATAGAGCTAGGTGAAGTTTTTGTGGAATATATGCATAAAGCGGGTAAGCACGGGAATGCAAATTGTTTCTTCTGGCTACGCAAACTTAAAGACAAATGCTGGTACCGATTTGAGGACATAGTTAGCTTTGTACCAGAGCCTTCCAAAATATCACTGTCCACTATTGTGTTGAGTCTTCTTTGTGGGAAGATATGTTGGTAACAATTCATGGCAAACAATAACCTGTGTTTATATGTGCACATGAATGAGGTCAAGAATGATTTATGAATGTTATCATATAATGCTATTATTTGGTAAAAGTGCAAATATGTTATCAGACTTTGTCTGTGCTGTTACTGTTGAAGTTTTGAAAGTTGACTATTCTCGTTTCCTTACAGCTTTTTGCTTGGAATAAGCAACAATAACCTCAAAAAGTGCCATTAAGGTTGTTGGTAGAGTTTCTGATCAAGTTCTATTTTTGAGATGAGCAATTCCACATAAGATTGGTTTATGAATTTTTGCTTGTCTGTGCTGTTACCAAACCTCACATTTTTATCTAATTAATGTCACATACAAAATACACCTAACACTTGGATATGCACATTCATTGAGTTTCCCTTTTTTGGACTACCTTTACTTCTGAAACACAGAACGCATAAATAGTTATTATAGTTTTGGCAATTACAAGATATTTTGTCTTTCCTGTTACCGTGTTGTCTGTCCTGTTACCATGAATGTCTTTCCTGTCACCAGGTTTCTGCCATCTCAAAAGTTATAATTGGTTCAACTCTGCTGACAAAAATATATATAATTCATAAAATGAGTGTAATAACTATTATTACCTAATAGAATAATGGTAGTTCCTTTTCAGTGTAAGCAGTAGACAAGTTTATCGTACATCTTTTTGCAAATAATTCCATTGTTTGCATATATTTACAGTCTAATAATTTAGTAAAGCCAATAAATGAAATTTTAAAGCTGTTGGTATTTGAACTATGCCAAAATGCAACAACCATATCATAAATTTAATTCGTTTTAGATTTATGTTCGGTGACAAAAACTGAATTTTATGCACGGTAACAGCACATACATTTGGTACAGAGATGCCAAAAATAGTTTTCTGCAAAAAGGAAAATTAGACATATTAAGCCTGCATACTTTACACTTGTATTCAGTATTTGTTATGTTGTTTATCTGTTCAACAAAAACATTTCAAAAATGAATTCTGATTTGCTGATTTTTCATAGGCCAAAATGTTACTTTTTTAGAGAATGACCCATATACCCTTGACCCTCACAACAAGACATATATACCCTTGAACCTCACAACAAGACATATATACCCTTGAACCTCACAACAAGACATATATACCCTTGAACCTCACAACAAGACATATATACCCTTGACCATCACAACAAGACATATATACCCTTGACCCTCACAACAAGACATATATACCCTTGACCCTCACAAAAAGACATATATACCCTTGACCCTCACAACAAGACATATATACCCTTGAACCTCACAACAAGACATATATACACTTGACCCTCACAACAAGACATATATACCCTTGAACCTCACAACAAGACATATATACCCTTGAACCTCACAACAAGACATATATACCCTTGAACCTCACAACAAGACATATATACACTTGACCCTCACAACAAGACATATATACCCTTGACCCTCACAACAAGACATATATACCCTTGACCCTCACAAAAAGACATATATACGCTTGACCCTCACAAGAAGACATATATACCCTTGACCCTCACAAAAAGACAAATATACCCTTGACCCTCACAGTAACTGTGTGTTCACCCTCGTTCAGTGACAGCCTGTGGTGTAAAGTGGAATCCTAAGGATGTACAGAGCTATGTGTCAGGTTATAGTGAATGAAGACATGCCCTGTGTTTCCTGCACATATACTAGGAAGTAGAATGAGAATCCTGAAATAACAGTGATATATGTGATGTAAGCTGACACTCCACCATCATTGTTCTCTACTCTCCTGTTGCAGGGTCAGTAAAGTGTGAAGCAAACTAACCTTCCTCATTGTTTTCTGCACTTGGACTCTACTCTTATTACTTAAAACAAACCATATAGTTCATTTATGAGAATAAGATTTTTTTCATCATAATATAGTCCATTATAGACCAGTTTATTTTGTGGATTTTCAAGATTTTCAAGATTTGCCTTGACTTTTAACATTTAACAAGAGTCATCAGAAAGATGACATATCCCCCCCGGCAGCTGTCTGTAAAGTAACCATAAGTAAATGTGCAATTCTGTATGTAATGAGTCAGGAGTTGAATATTCTTTAAAAAGCATACATTGTTTACCAACAAAAGATCCACCATGGTCGCATCCATATGAAATGGAAAGTAAAACGTGTGTTTCTGTGTGTTTTTTTAATGCAAACAAATGACAAATTACGCCCATATTGCACGAACATTCGGTTGCTCCCGTGTTGCCATTACCAACTTGATGCAACGTTACAGACAGACAAAGGATTGCTGACAGGCCAAGAACAGGCAGACCCAGGATGACTACACCCCATGATGACCAGTACTTGCGTATCTTGCACCTCCGAAATCACTTCCTGACTCCTGGCTACAAATGCCTTAGGTCACAGGGTTAGTCGACAGACAGTGGCCAGGAGACTCAGGGCTCATGGAATCAGGGCTTTTAGACCATACAGAGGACAGCTATTGACAGTGCAACATCGTCGTCTGCGATTTAGATCGGCCCGGACTGTACGACGTTGGCAACGATGTGACTGGCAGAGGGTTGTCTTCACTAACGAAAGTCGATTCTGTATGTTTAGGGCTGATGGAAGACAACGTGTTTACCGCCGAAGGGGTGAACGATCGGCGGCGTGTTGCGTGCAGGAGGTCGTACCATATGGTGGAGGGAGTGTCATTGTGTGGGGAGGGATCTGTGGGCAGGAGAGGACACTGCTGGTCATCGTTGACGGAAACTTGACAGCTCAGCGTTACATGGATAACATTCTTTGTCCAGTTGTCCGACCATTTCTCCAACAGTAGCCACGTGGTGTCATTTATCAGCATGACAACGCTAGAGCCCATACAGCCAGAATTGTCACTAACTTCCTCGCAGCCAACAACGTCAACGTCCTGCCGTGGCCTGCACGCTCACCCGACATGTCCCCCATAGAACACCTCTGGGACTTGATGGATCGTCGTGTTCGACAACGACCACACCCAACTTTGGGGGGCTCTGACGTCATTCTCGGACGCGGTATGATTGCCATTTTCAGTGTTGATTATGTTGATATATTGATCTTCTCAATACACTTTACTTCATGCATGTATGTTTTGTTGTTTTTGGGCAAGAGTGATTTCAAACTCTGGTAAAGTTTCTCTTGGACGTCAGTTTATATCCCCCGCCCATTTTAACACGTTATGGTCCCAAACCAGGTAACTGACCCAACATTTCTCTTAGCCCACGTCAAAATAGCTGCAATGGAAATTCTAAAATAAACATTTCTAAAACTCCTTAATATCAAATGGCACCAGTTCAGTATGTACTTGATATATAGACATGCAATGTTTGGCAAGAAAATATTTAACAGATTATTTGTTATACTCCATAAGTGAACGGTGAACCCACCCTATATGAAAATTTAAATCCAACTTGTTGCCATGGAAATGTAAAAAATAAAAAATAATAAAATTCCTAAATAGCAAAAGGCACCAGTTCAGTATATGCCTGGTAGACATGCAAAGTTTTGTAAGAAAGTATTTAATGGTTTTTGAGTTACGCTCCGGAAACGAACACCACCCTTATAGAACCTAAGTCCAACTTGTTACCATGGAAACGTAAAAAAAAAATATTCTTCATAAATTCCTAAATAGCTAAAGGCACAACTTCAGTATGTAACTGATAGATATGCCAAGTTTCGATCAAATACACTGAGTTCTGCCCCGGAAAAGGAAATGATTACGGACGGACAGGCAGACGGACGACCAGACAGACTGGCTGATCGCTATATCCCAGGGGGGATAAAAAGTGAATATGTGTATTTAAAACACAACTCCGAGGTTTTGGTTGAAAATATAAAACCTCAAGCAAGGGAAAGTCCATGGGGGTACTTCATAGTGAAACAATACAGTTGTCATGGCATGAAACGAACTCAATAACAGAGGACTAGAGTAAAAACACATGCAACATGCAGACAACTGAAGTCATGACTTGTTAGATTGAACACCCTTTCATCACCTGCCTCAGTGTGTTTCAACACCAAACATGAAATGTGAGGTTGCAGATTCATGTGAAAATAATTGTGACTTTTAACCAATCAAAATTAACATTAGATGGATATCAAAAGGCTGTTTATACAATTCATCTGTAAAACTTGGCCATTACGTAACGCTTACGTGGATTTATATTCATGTCACACCCAAACTGTACTGAAACAGTATTTTAAACTGTACTGGGAAACTGCTACGTGGCCATGACTGCTTTGAAAATACAGAAGACATGTGTAGGTGTGGCAACTTACAGCTAGTTTGGATCCATCAACTCCTTGCTTTTTGAACGGATCCTTGAAGTCATCCAGATGACTCTGAAAAAAATATAAATTAGCAATCAATAAACCATTGAATTTTAAAAACAACAATGCATCTTAGAATCTATCTTAGTGATGGAGACTTCATTCCAAAGTGCATCTTAGAATCTATCTTAGTGATGGAGACTTCATTCCAAAGTGCATCTTAGAATCTATCTTAGTGATGGAGACTTCATTCCCAAATGCATCTTAGAACCTATTTTAGTGATGGAGACTTCATTCTACAATGCATCTTAGAACCTATCTTAGTGATGGAGACTTCATTCCACAATGAGTCTTAGAATCTATCTTAGTGATGGAGACTTCATTCCACAGTGCATCTTAGAACCTATCTTAGTGATGGAGACTTCATTCCACAATGCATCTTAGAACCTATCTTAGTGATGGAAACTTCATTCCACAATGCATCTTAGAATCTATCTTAGTGATGGAGACTTCATTCCACAATGCATCTTAGAACCTATCTTAGTGATGGAGACTTCATTCCACAATGCATCTTAGAACCTATCTTAGTGATGGAGACTTCATTCCACAATGCATCTTAGAATCTATCTTAGTGATGGAAACTTCATTCCACAATGCATCTTAGAATCTATCTTAGTGATGGAGACTTCATTCCACAATGCATCTTAGAACCTATCTTAGTGATGGAGACTTCATTCCACAATGCATCTTAGAACCTATCTTAGTGATGGAGACTTCATTCCACAATGCATCTTAGAACCTATCTTAGTGATGGAGACTTCATTCCACAATGCGTCTTAGAACCTATCTTAGTGATGGAGATTTCATTCCAAAATGCATCTTAGAACCTATCTTAGTGATGGAGATTTCATTCCAAATTGAATCTTAGAACCTATCTTAGTGATGGAGACTTCATTCAACAATGCATCTAAGAACCTATCTTAGTGATGGAGATTTCATTCCAAAATGCATCTTAGAACCTATCTTAGAGATGGAGATTTCATTCCACAATGCGTCTTAGAACCTATCTTAGTGATGGAGATTTCATTCCAAAATGCATCTTAGAACCTATCTTAGTGATGGAGACTTCATTCCACAATGCATCTTAGAACCTATCTTACTGATGGAGACTTCATTCCACAATGCATCTTAGAACCTATCTTAGTGGGGGGCACGGGTGGCCCAGTCGTCTAAGGCGCTGCGATTCGCTATGCAGAGTTGCTTCCCTCGGCACGCAAGAAACCTATGATTGTGGGTTCGAATCTCGGTTCGCCCCGATTATGTTTCTAGGTTTGTCGGCACCATACCCGTGCTCGTGGGTTTCACCGAAATGGTAAACGTCTGACGCCTGCATCACTTCGGGCTTTCCTCCCACATTAAGCTGACACGCCGCGATATAACTGGAATACTGTTAAAAGCGGCGTAAAACCCAACTCACTCATTCACTATCTTAGTGATGGAGACTTCATTCCACAATGCATCTTAGAATCTATCTTATTGATGGAGACTTCATTCCACAATGCATCTTAGAACCTATCTTAGTGATGGAGACTTCATTCCACAATGCATCTTAGAATCTATCTTAGTGATGGAGACTTCATTCCACAATGCATCTTAGAATCTATCTTAGTGATGGAGACTTCATTCCACAATGCATCTTAGAATCTATCTTAGTTATGGAGGCTTCATTCCACAATGCATCTAAGAATCTATCTTAGTGATGGAGACTTCATTCCACAATGCATCTTAGAACCTATCTTAGTGATGGAGACTTCATTCCACAGTGCATCTTAGAATCTATCTTAGTGACGGAGACTTCATTCCACAATGCATCTTAGAACCTATCTTAGTGATGGAGACTTCATTCCACAGTGCATCTTAGAATCTATCTTAGTGATGGAGATTTCATTCCAAAATGCATCTTAGAATCTATCTTAGTGATGGAGACTTCATTCCACAATGCATCTTAGTACCTATCTTAGTGATGGAGACTTCATTCCAAAATGCATCTTAGAATCTATTTTAGTGATGGAGACTTCATTCCACAATGCATCTTAGAACCTATCTTAGTGATGGAGACTTCATTCCACAATGCATCTTAGAACCTTGTACCCTTCTTTCCATAATGTATCATTGAGCCTATCTTAGTCTTGTACCCTTCTTTCAACAATGCCTCATTGAGGCTATCTTAGTCATGTATCCTTCTTTCCACAATGCATCATTGAGGCTATCTTAGTCACGTACCCTTGTATCTGATAGGAACAAGGCAATGCTTCTTGGGGCCTCAGTCTGATAGGAACAAGGCATGCGTTCTTGTGGCCTCAATCTGATAGGAACAAGGCAAAGCTTCTTGTGGCCTCACTCAGTCTGATAGGAACAAGTCATAGCTTCTTGTGGCCTCAGTCTGATAGGAACAAGGCATGTGTTCTTGTGGCCTCAGTCTCATAGGAACAAGGCATAGCTTCTTAAGAACAAGGCATAAAAGTCTCAAAGATTAAATCTCACTTGCCTGAAAGTTAAACTGTGTATTTGCATACAAATTGCAAAATAAATCAAATACACATGAAAAATTTCAACCATCCTACAGTATAACCACATTCTGTGTAATTACCTAATGTATACATCTGAACTTGCATAGATGTTGTTCTTTACAGGATCCCATTCCACAAGGCTATCAGCGCTACGACTGTCATACGAGGGGTGTTCATGAAAGATTTCCCCTGACCCACTTCCGATGGACCTAGTGGAATGAAACTTGGCATAGGTATTAGTCTTTCTCCATATAGGAACCACCAAGAGTTACACACTTCTCTCATCGTTTTATGGAACTATGGAGACCTCGCTTGTAAAAGCCCTCATTTTGTGTCTCAAACCAGGACTTGACTTCAGAAATCAGTGTTTCATCATCTGTGAAACGTTTTCCCTTCAAAAATGACTTCATGGTTGGAAAGAGGTGGAAGTCAGATGGTGCAAGGTCAGGAGAGTAAGGAGGATGTGGAAGGATTTCATAGCCACAGGACCGCGCTTCTGTCTGGGCATCATGAGAGTTGTGTACTGGAGCATTGTCTTGCAGGAGACAGACACCCTTGGTCAGCATGCCACGCCTCTTAAGCTTGATAGCGTCCCGCAATTTCCACAGCAGTGAAGCATAATAAGCTCCTGTAATTGTGGTACCCTTTGCCAAGAAATCCATCATCACTACTCCGTGCTGGTCCCAAAACACATGGGCATAACCTTGCCTGCAGAGGGTTTGACACGTGCCTTCTTTGGGGGTGGTGACTCCACATGCTTCCATTGCATCGACTGAACTTTAGTCTCAGGATCATAGTGATGGACCCATGTTTCATCCTGTGTGATAAGTCTGTCAAAAAAGTTTGCCTGTTTTTTTTGGCACATGTCCAAAAGATCCTTTGAGCAATTGACTCGTTCCTGCTTTTGGAAAGGTGTGAGCAACCTGGGAATCCATCGTGCAGACACCTTATGCATGTTCAAATTGTCATGGATGATTTTTTCCACAGACCCTACACTGATCTTGACATCTTGTGCTAACTAGCGAACAGTTATACGTCGGTCTGCCAAAATGGCCGTCTCCACTTGATGGATAGTGTCCTCATCAATGGCTGAATGGGGGCGACCAGGAATGGCAGCTGTTTCCACAGATGTCCGACCACACTTGAACTGGCGATGCCAGTGTTTAACAACGTCAAATGATGGGGCATCTTCCCCATAAGTTGCTTTCATTTCATCGAAAGTTTTTTTTAGTGTGCGACCTTTCAAATATAAAAACCTAATCACTGCTCGGTATTCTACTGGCTCCACTGTCACACCCTACTTGATCATAACACCTGTAAAAGTGGTAAGATTAATAGTTCGGTGCTGCAAACATAACGCATAGATACATGTATCATTACACATGTGAAATTTCAACCAATTATGATAACCCTAAGTGGTTTAGGGGAAATCTTTAATGAACACTCCTCGTAAGTCTATGTGATTGTAGAAAAGTTATGACAATACTATCGACTCTGCTTTATGCAGAGATTTCTATTGGATATGGAAAGGGTTTTGTCGCTTTATTTACTGCTTAGATCGCTTTGTGGAACGAGGTTTCGATCTTTATATACTGATCGAGTGCAGGCATCACACATTTATGAACTCCACTGCAGTGTTTATACATAAGAAGTCACAACGTCTCACTCATCATTAATTAGACATGTATATCGCTAAGTTTATGCAACATGTTACATACTTAGGGCAGCACACGAACAGATACAAATTAGAAGTGCCCTGAAACAGCATTTCAAGCAGATTTCTTTTAAAATGTCTACTCATTAGAGTAACATGCCCAAAGACTGGACCCAAGGGAGCAAAAGTATATATTGAATACTCAAAGTAAACTATCAATACCCAATGTGAGTGATAACATGTGAGTAAATACTCAATGGCTACAAAAGGTTGTCTGGGTCCTCGTTTTGAAAAAGGTTATAATCCCACAGACGTCAACAAACTACTGCCACAAGGCTCTGTAGCTCACCTGAATACTTCTGGAATACTTACAAACACTAGATCATAAAGGTAATTTGTAGCAGAAGTTTTGACACAACTTTGATAATTAGTTGAGCAGAGAGTCCATACTACATTACCAACATGATTTCCTTGACAGCCACTGAAGTACATAAAGGCCAAATGTAAAAAATTTCAAATACACCACAAAACCTGCCACATGTTATTTGTTACCAAATGCTCAACCTGTATCTAATCTCACAATGTCCAGGTTCTGTTCCCCATGGCCATCATAGCGCTATGCCTGTTGTAAGTCTTTGTATAAGAATGGATGTTACGATCATCTGAGCACTAAGATCACTTTGTGGAACGTGGCCCAGGTTCCGTTCCACATGGCCATCATAGCGCTATGCCTGTTGTAAGTCTTTGTATAGAATGGAAGTTACGATCATCTGAGCACTAAGATCACTTTGTGGAACGTGGGCCAGGTTCCGTTCCACATGGCCATCATAGCGCTATGCCTGTTGTAAGTCTTTGTATAAGTAGAAGTTACGATCATCTGAGCACTAAGATCACTTTGTGGAACGTGGCCCAGGTTCCGTTCCACATGGCCATCATAGCGCTATGCCTGTTGTAAGTTTATGTATAAGAATGGATGTTACGATCATCTGAGCACTAAGATCCCTTTGTGGAACGTGGCCCAGGTTCCGTTCCACATGGCCATCGTAGCGCTATGCCTGTTGTAAGTCTTTGTATAAGAATGGAAGTTACGATCATCTGAGCACTAAGATCACTTTGTGGAACGTGGCCCAGATTCCGTTCAACATGGCCATCGTAGCACTATGCCTGTTGTAAGTCTTTGTATAAGAATGGAAGTTACGATCATCTGAGCACTAAGATCACTTTGTGGAACGTGGGCCAGATTCCGTTCAACATGGCCATCGTAGCACTATGCCTGTTGTAAGTCTTTGTATAAGAATGGAAGTTACGATCATCTGAGCACTAAGATCACTTTGTGGAACGTGGCCCAGATTCCGTTCAACATGGCCATCGTAGCGCTATGCCTGTTGTAAGTCTTTGTATAAGAATGGAAGTTACGATCATCTGAGCACTAAGATCACTTTGTGGAACGTGGCCCAGATTCCGTTCAACATGGCCATCGTAGCACTATGCCTGTTGTAAGTCTTTGTATAAGAATGGAAGTTACGATCATCTGAGCACTAAGATCACTTTGTGGAAGGGGGCCCTGGCCACCATGTTAACAACAATATTAGAATTCTGTGAGAGTTTTACAGACACTATTGATGAGATCATACACACTATTTAAACTTCAAAATCCAAGAACAAACATATACAACAAACACACTAAAAGCAGGGTCAAAAATGAAAATATGGTACAAAATGTATTCTGTAATTGCACATAACATATACTTACTACATATCACATTTCACCAAAACACATGCAGAAATGGCTTAAGAATGGACCAAAATAACATTAGAATACGTACACAATATTGGTGACAAATCAGGATTCTGTGATCAAACTTCAGAGACAGCATGTTCAACTCATGCATCCACATGAAATCTATCAATAAATATTTCTATAACTGTAAAATCTTTCAGAAAAACAATTGTACCAACAGTATGATTATGGATTATTTTTCCGCTGTTTGGTAATTGATAAGCATTAAGTAAATCACTAAGATAAAGAATTACAATGAAACCTAGCTAATCTGGATGATTCAATTTCACACCAACTCCCTGCAGTTGCAATCCCTCGAGTAATGAATAGTGCGTTATGGCCTTTGCATATTTTTTACACATCCTTTCCCTACAGTATATCATCCGCAGAGCAAGATTTCCAGAATAACAGGGTGTTGATTAACAAGGTTTCACTGTTCAGTAAGCAATATACTGAACAAAAATAGTTTGGGATCATGAATATTTGGGGGCATATCTTTTTTGTAGTGAAGACTGACTGAGCACACATAAAAAAACAAACCATAAATATTTGTGATCCCTAATTTTTGTTATTGGTATATGTTAAATCATTCTGTTTTAATAATACTGTTTGCACCTGCTGAAGAACTGTGTAGTACTATACATGCCTCTCACTTCACCAAGCTTCCCACACTGGACCTAGTGTGCCTCATTCATCCATACAGACTCTACACATATATATTCCCTTTCTTATTGCCCTGATAGGAGGTAGCAAGTAGTGTTAAAAATGTGTATACGTTGCATCACTTGCGCAAATGTTTTCTGTCAGTATATAAACTGGCGGGCAAAAGAAATGCCACCAAATAAATAGTGGTCGTCAGTTTTTAATAAATTTGACATACAGCACAAAAACAGTTGGGAACACATAGCTGGAATGCAGCTTACCTATTCCCTGTAAACATGTGCACATGCTTCACGTGATTTGCGAGAAAAGTGAATTTCATCTCTAAAACCTGCAAAATGTGCACAAAGTTACCCATTTGAAATTCTGGTATAAAACATGAGCAGGATTGTACTCTCTCATTACATGAAACCGTTTAAAACAACGAAGATGCCCCGACGTCGAAGATGTCACAGACTGAGATGGGCCAGGACTGTACAGTAGTTGCAGCAGAGAAATTGGCAAAGAGTGCCTTTCAGCAATGAGAGTAGGTGCCAGCTCTTCAAGTCTGATGTGCGGGTTAGAATCTTACAACGATGTGGTTAATGGACGGCACGTTGTTGCATCCAAGAAGTGGAGCCTTATGGAGGTGGTAGTGTCATGGTCTGGGGTGGCATCTGCGGGGACCAGAAGACAGATCAGGTCATGATCGACGGAAATCTCACTACACGTCGTTACATTGATGAGGATTTGCGACCTGTCGAACTGCCTTTCCTGCAACGACACCCACGGACGCTGTTTCAGCAGGACAACACCAACCCTCACACAGCTTAAGTCACTAGTGACTTTCTGCACGCCAACAACGTGACTGTATTACAATGGCTAACATGTCCGCAGAACTTTAAGTACATGGTTTTTGATCTTGTCATTTTCAAATAATTTTGAATAATTGGTTTTTTTTACAACAAAACATGAGCTGTTACTACATTTTGTGTCTGTTTTGTTTCAGACTAGAAAACTGTTACGTGGCGTTTCTTTTGCTTGTTAGTTTATATATACATTGTGAGGTTCTCTTCCAACCACAATTTCCACCTTTTTTGTGTCACTTATTTTGTGACATTTAAAAGCTCGAAACACTTGGTACCAGTACCAGGATTTAAATTAATAATGACATAGTCGTTTTGCTTCGGAATCAAATTTGTAATAAACATACTGAAGAAATATCAAGCTGACCTGTTTTTTATAAGTGTGCCATGGTAGTAATATTTTTTTTATCACATTAGGGCATATTTATCCTTGTGCGTATCATCAAAATATTGTGAAGTAACCCTGTGTATTCGATTAGCAAATCAGCAACTTATTTTAAAATTATAAACGGGCATTCTGTCAACCTTGCCAAACTCCACGATGACAGTTACATCATGATCATTTGCCATCACACTTTCTTGTGGAAGTATCGTGGTATTTTTGAGTCCTATAAAGCTCTCGAACCCACACGACACCAGTTTGCAGGGACTAGATGAATAGTGTTTTTAAATACTTAACTTAAATACCCACATGTGTAAAAACTAGTGGGTGACAGAAATTTGAATACCCAGATATAAATACTGATACCCAATGATTTTAAAATGCATGGGTAAAATACCCACAACACCAAAAGCTTATCTGGAGCTCTGATTATTACAATTCTGATTGTAGCTGCCTCACTTCCAAACACACACACACACACACACACACACATTCCCTCTGTACTTCCTGGATATACTTAGATGTAACAAACTGTGTCATGTTCCTGGCTAAAAACAGACGTATTGTGACCCACTGAAAACAATATACACACAACTCATATTTGTATCCTGGGAGGTGGTGGCTTGACATAAGTCAATAAAAGCTCCCATGAAAATAAATGTCAACATCATTCATCCATATAATCTGTCTGCTGGCGAATGATTTAGTTGAATCTTAGCAGTTGAAGCAGTTTGTGTCGAACCGCTGCCAACAGCTACTGTGACTAGGGTTAATAAAGTTTTGGATCTAAATCAGCACTTAATGCTCCCTACCTCTGCCAGCCACCTCGTCGTGTCCACGACTGTCCAGCGCACGAGTTCTTCGTATGGTGGGAGAGAAGCCATTTTACTTGTCACATACTCCTGACAGCACGATGTTGTCTAAAACCCGTCCTCCGTGTTTGTAAAATTTAATTTGCTTCCTGGTTGAACATTGTAATCTAATACCTACAGAGTTACTCCCCTTTGCCCATGACCGCAATCACTTGCGATGCCGATCACATAACACTATTTGTCATATAATGGGTAGGTTTCTCGGCAGGATAAAGCCAACGGATAAAAACGATATCCGTTGGGGTCATATACGGGTAGAGATGCAAATATCAAAGGTCGAGTAGGGACTTCTTTCAGTGTTTACAAACAAACATAGCGTCGCCCCTTTTCATTCGGCGATCGAGTCAGAATTAACCATCGGGAATCTGGATAAACTAAAGGGATAATTGCTATCATTATAAAAAAAACAGTCTATTATACTGAAAATCAGTGTCTAACTGTGATGTAGCTAAGGCATTTTATAACTTTTGGCAACTTTGGAGATATAAATTAGGAAACAATTTTGCGAGGGCACTAGGCCTAACCAAGCGGGATCAGTAGCCATATCTGTGCTTGTCGTCCTCTGCGGCTTGATACCTTTTCCAAAAATTCAAATGGTTGGATTTGGCCGAGATATGTTTGAATTGTTACCTTGTTTCGTTTTGTCGCTGTGTGTACATCTGACTGCACTTAACGTTATGACAGGACAGACCGACTGTCAACAACGTCTGAACGTGGCCGTGACGTCTCATAGACTAGCGTAAGAGTAGCTTTCCCTTTGACAAAGGGCAGTTACTCTAGCGGACAGACCGATGGATTGCCGCGAAAGGCAAGTAAAGACAATTGTTGTTATGCGTATATGTTGCTTCGCCACTGTATAAGAAACAGATTTTTAGTTGGAGCTATATTGGCTACTGTCACTGTCCCACTGACACTTACCCTGTGACGTAATAAATATTAATGCGCGCATTCCAGGAGTGAGTGAGTATGGTTTTACGCCGCTTTTAGCAATATTCCAGCAACATCAGGGCTTCACACATTGTACCCATGTCGGGAATCGAACCCGGGTCTTCAGCGTGACGAGCGAACGCTTTAACCACTAGGCTACCCGACCGCTCCCGCATTCCAGGAAAACTCGCAATGTTTCGGTAATGTTTGTGAGTGAGGGAAAGCGATTTTCAAGCACAGAATGACATTATATGACAAAGAGGTTATCACGCTTGTGTGTTTGGGGATGGTTAAGATCCCGTATTAGGATAAACACTATGTATTTAGCTGACCAAGGCTCGCGTGATAACCTCTATTGACGCGGTTTTGGATAAAGGAGAGACACGTTTTACACTTCCTCTATATTTACTTCCTAGTAATGGGAGATATTGATAGCATTGTATTTCTGTTAGAAAAAACATAATATGTTAAACAAAGCGAATGTCAAACGTTTTGTCAGTACCGATTTTTCTGTAAGCAAAATGTGACACATTTCAATACACCCGGAATGTGTATACATTACCTGGGGAAACAATGTCTGTGGTATATAGATCTACTACAAAGTGTATACTACTCTAAAGAAATTAAACAACATCCAATTCTTTCAGATTACTTTTTCATGCCATGACAGATTAACTTTTGTAAAATGAAAGAATCGAGTGTTCTTTAACGTTTTTAGTAGTATATCTAGGTTGGAGGATGCTTATTTATTTTCGGAAACACGTTAATGATACCAACACGTGATCACTATTATAAGTGGTCATTTTGAGCAGGAGTGTGATCTCGCGGACAGGCAGGAGAGAGTGAATTAGGTGTTACGCCGCTTTGAACAGAAGTTCGGTTACATATAACAGAACTATTCTAACTGGGAATTCGCACTGGCGTATATAATACAGACAAGGTAAAGATGAATACAAAACGGCAACGCCAGAGTCAGACAATGTCCAGTAAAGCCAATGTCCCAGTTTGCCTCACTGTACTCATGATTGTCGACACTTCGGGAACCGATAACAACAATCAAGCAGCAGTAAACAGCGGACACTCTTTGTACCGGGCACTGATAACAACAATCAAGCAGCAGTAAACAGCGGACACTCTTTGTACCGGGCACTGATAACAACAATCAAGCAGCAGTAAACAGCGGACACTCTTTGTACCGGGCACTGATAACAACAATCAAGCAGCAGTAAACAGCGGACACTCTTTGTACCGGGCACTGATAACAACAATCAAGCAGCAGTAAACAGCGGACACTCTTTGTACCGGGCACTGATAACAACAATCAAGCAGCAGTAAACAGCGGACACTCTTTGTACCGGGCACCGATAACAACAATCAAGCAGCAGTAAACAGCGGACACTCTTTGTACCGGGCACCGATAACAACAATCAAGCAGCAGTAAACAGCGGACACTCTTTGTACCGGGCACTGATAACAAATGTAACATATATAAAGTGAGTGAGTGAGTTTGGTTTTACGCCGCTTTTAGCAATATTCCAGCAATATCACGGCGGGGGACACCAGAAATGGGCTTCACACATTGTACCCATGTCGGGAACCGAACCCGGGTCTTCGGCGTGACGAGCGAACGCTTTAACCACTAGGCTACCCGACCGCCCACATATATCTCATCCACAGGTTTGTAAGAAAAAGGAATAACACGATTATATGTGATAATGTATGAAGCACTAAGATATATTATCATATTTTCTCTTGGACTTACATTGTTATTATTACACTGCAAAAAAGAAATCAAGATATACAATCTTGTATATGGTTAGGATAGATGATATATCCAAAAATATACATTTTGTATATATGATATGTCCACAATTGTGGTTTTTTTTGTATGCAAAGGGAGATAACTGCTATGTATTCGTATATAAATATTATGTATGCGCTAATTGCAGTGTTTTAAGTTGATCACTGTGTTTCTTTGTGTATGTTGGTAAAGGGGGATAACTGCTATGTATCTTTATATAATTGTTCTGTATGTGCAAAATGCAGTGTTTTTAAGTCTATCAATATTTTAAGCAAGTTTCAAATAAAACTGATATAGTGGCGTGTAACATTAATGTAATGTTTAATGAGTACTCCACACTGTTAGCGGGGTACGTACTCTCCTTGCAATGCTATTGGTATGTGAGTAGACATTATGATCAAATGCACACAGCGGATAAGCAGTCGGGGGGGATTGCACTGACGGCGACTTCTATATTATAATCACTTGAAAGTGTTGAAACCGATTTGTGCTGAGCTGTCGGTTTCATTGTACGGTATACATTGTAGACAGACAGACAGACAGACAACAGTTAGTGTCTCACTTCTGTACATACATAAAACAGAGTTGTACGAATAAACATTGATAAAATGTACAGAACTATTCAATATAATTATGATAGATTATCAACAGAATATCCCACTGCTAAGTATATGATAAATTGTTGAATAAACATTAGATAAGGTTGAGAATTAATTGTGGTTTTTTTTCAAATACATCTAAGACAGGTGAGTCGTCTGCTAGCCTAGTTAGAGTTCGATGATACCCATCCTGCACATATTTTAACATTTTTTTACCCTGTTCCCCATTGATGGAAAGTGTGTCGTCTGCTAACCCAGCTGGAGCCACCGGGTAACAATTATTCACAAGCTGTCAATATACAATACAGAATAATACATCAATATGGCAGTTTCCATGTAAAGATTAAGTATTCCCGAGCAACTTAAAGATATGTACAATATCTATATATTGTAAAATGGAATGAGAGTGACTTAATCTGGACATGTTTTAACCAACCTGTGACTTAGTCAGGTTTCGTTATGTAGACAATCCATGCAATTTGTTCATTTTGTTTTTAAAAGAGCTAAAAATGTTTCAGGGAAATATATCTCCTTTCGCTTAAGTTAACCGGTATATATTTTGTAAGAATAAACTATTGCGCATTGAGCGATTATCTCCTTTGCGTAGTATAGACCTTTTTCACGCGTGACGTTGCGATGCTGTACATCGTATCTTATTCAAGCTGTATCTCTGAGCGTGAGTGATTATCTCCTTTACCCAGGGTGTTCTCTGGTGGTTATCTCCCAAAACCCCTACAACCCATTTCCCCTACAACCCATTTCCCCTACAATTAGTTAAAACAACACGCGGCATTTACCTGTCTGGCATTATTAACTCACCTAAAGGAGAGATTAAGGTCTGGAGTAGAGGTAGTAGAAAAGAAAGGGGTAGAGCTTGAGGGGATAAGGGGACTTAAAGGAAAGTTTAAAAAAGAAGAAGAATTAATGTAAGTGTAATGAAAGATGCCTGTATGATGAGAAGACATTTTTTAGAAATTACAAAAATAACAATAGGAAGAAACAATTATTACACTGAGAAACTGAGATCAGACGATTTAAAGTTGAGATGGCTAGGTTTAGTATATAGATACTTGAAACTGACTAACACCGAAATACGCATCAGTCGGAAAGCGCACGTTAAATCTCCAAAGTAAGTAAGTAAGTAAGTAAGTACTAACACCCTGTGCGAAATACGCATCAGTCGGAAAGCGCACGTTAAATCTCCATAGTAAGTAAGTACTAACATGACATCAACATGGCTGGTCTTCGCAATGTTGAGTTTGTTATGTCACAGAGAGGAAAGCCCCAAGTCCTATTTGATGGTTATCTTCACACTAAGAACGTCGAGAGACTGACTTGCGTACACTGGAAGTGTGTCAAGTCCACATGCAGAGGAAGACTCACGACAGTAGGAACCGTGATGAGGAATGCTACAGAGCATAACCATGCACCTGAGGATAGCCAGAAGGTCCGGTTTTATGAGCACCCTAAGGAAGAGAGCGAGAGAAGAGTCAACGCCGATGCATACCCTCTACAACGACGAACTCTCCAACATGAACAACGACGACCATGAAGCACGATTCCCCCTACCACTGGAACCATCACGGTACAACAGGTCCCAGGACGAACAGCAACCTGGAAGTCTTTCATAACCGACTCAACCGAGGTCTCCCTCACCGACATCCCAACATCTACCGATTTGTGGAGGTAGTCAGGAAGGTGATTTTACAGCTCGCCTCTGGAGCAGCTCCAAGAGGCAGGAAGAGAGTTACAGAGGGGTGGA